GCAGAACATCAAAGACCAGCAGGACTTCTTCAACCTTTGCCGATTCCTGAGTGGAAATGGGAGCACATCTCCATGGATTTTGTGATTGGTTTGCCGAAAACACCTAAGGGTATGGATTCAATTTGGGTTGTGGTTGATAGGTTAACTAAGTCAGCACACTTTCTACCCGTTAAGACTACCTTCAACGCCAATCAACTTGCCTTGCTATATGTGAACGAGATTGTTGCATCCATTTACAGAGCGTGTGTTGTCGTGATTGAGAATGTTGAATTGTTAGTAGATCTAATGCCTCTAGACATAGCTCATTTTGATATTATACTGGGAATGGACTGGTTAGTCGCAAACGATGCATCTATTAATTGTGTTTCGAAAAGTGTCACATTGAGACCCTCAAACCTAGCCGAGGTTATTTTCCAGGGTAAAGGGTTAGTGCCCCCACCATACTTGATTTCGTCCATTAAGGCCTGTAAGTTAATTCAGAAAGGGTGTCGAGGCTACTTGTGTAGTATACTGAGTGATCAGAATGGAAATGTTAATCTAGCCGACATCCCAGTGGTTAACGAATTCCCCGACGTCTTTCCAGACGAATTGCCTGGCCACCTAACCGATAGAGAAATAGAGTTTACTGTTGACATTATGTCGGGAACACAGCCGATCTCCAAAACACCTTATAGGATGGCCCCAGCTGAACTTAGAGAATTGAAACTGCAATTGCAAGAGTTGTTAGATAAGGGATTTATTAGGCCGAGCACTTCACCATGGGGAGCACCTGTTTTATTTGTTAAGAAAAAGGATGGCACGCTCCGTCTTTGCATCGATTATAGAGAACTTAATAAAGTCACTATCAAGAACAAGTACCCATTGCCTAGGATTGATGATCTGCTTGACCAATTACAGGGAGTGCGAATCGTTTCTAAGATCGACCTTAGGTCTGGTTACCATCAGCTTAAAGTAAAAGCCGAAGATGTTGAGAAGACCGCTTTTCGGACAAGATATGGCCACTACGAGTTTTTAGTAATGCCTTTTGGAGTGACCAATGCCCCTGCTGCATTTATGGATTTAATGAACAGAGTCTTCAAACCATATTTAGATGAATTTGTGGTCGTCTTCATTGATGATATACTGATCTACTCCAAGAGTGGAGTTGAACATGAAAATCACTTGAGACTTGCCTTACAGATTTTGAGAAAACGGAAATTGTATGCTAAGTTTAACAAGTGTGAGTTTTGGCTTTCTTCTATCTCATTCTTGGGCCATGTGATTAGTGAAGAGGGTATTTCGGTTGATCCTAGCAAAATTGAAGCCGTAGTAAATTGGCCGAGGCCGACTAATGTATCCGAGATCCGTAGTTTTCTGGGTTTGGCAGGTTATTATAGGAAGTTTGTGAAAGATTTCTCAAGGATTGCAATCCCATTGACGCAATTGACTAAGAAGGGAACACTGTATGAATGGACTGAAGATCGGGAATCAGCTTTCCAGGAACTGAAGACGAGGTTAGTTACGGCACCAGTACTGACACTTCCATCAGGTAATGAAGAGTTTCACGTCTATAGTGATGCATCGCATAAGGGTTTGGGTTGTGTGTTAATGCAAAAGGGCAAGGTTATAGCATATGCATCTCGTCAGTTAAAACCCCATGAGAAGAACTATCCTACCCATGATTTAGAATTAGCGGCCGTGGTATTTGCTTTGAAGATTTGGCGTCACTATTTGTATGGAGCTTCTTGTCAGACTTTTACAGATCATAAGAGTTTAAAGTACCTATTCACCCAGAAAGAATTGAATTTGAGACAGAGAAGGTGGCTTGAGTTGTTAAAGGACTATGATATGCAAATCCAATATCACCCGGGTAAAGCTAACAGTGTAGCCGACGCTTTGAGCAGGAAGTCAGATGGAAATTTGGCGTGTTTGACCGTAATGACAGTGGAACCGACTATTGTTGTTGAGGTAAAGACAAGACAGATGGAGGATAACTTCTACAAGAAAATAGCCGAGGAAATTGACACAAAGCTGAGATCAGGGTATACTATCGAAAAGCAAGTACTCAAGTTTGAGGGAAGGTTGTGTGTGGCCGATATCCCAGAGTTGAAGAGGAAAATTTTGCAGGAAGCTCATGGTTCCAAATTTGCTGTCCATCCAGGGAACACCAAAATGTATCAGGACGTGAAGCAGACCTTCTGGTGGCCAAACATGAAAAGAGATATAGCCGAATTTGTGTCCCAGTGTTTACATTGTCAACAAGTGAAAGCAGAACATCAAAGACCAGCAGGACTTCTTCAACCTTTGCCGATTCCTGAGTGGAAATGGGAACACATCTCCATGGATTTTGTGACCGGTTTGCCGAAGACACCGAAAGGTATGGATTCAATTTGGGTTGTTATTGATAGATTAACCAAGTCAGCACACTTTCTACCTGTTAAGACTACATTCAACGCCGATCAACTTGCCTTGGTATATGTGAACGAGATTGTCAGACTTCATGGAGTGCCGATATTAATTGTGTCAGACCGAGATCCTAAATTTGTTTCTAGATTTTGGCAGAGTCTTCAGAGAGCTTTCGGAGCCGAGCTGAGATTTAGTACAGCTTTTCATCCCCAGACGGATGGGCAGACAGAGAGGACAATCCAGACACTTGAAGATATGCTCAGACTTTGTGTATTGGACTTCCTAGGAAGTTGGGGAACACATTTGCCCTTAGTGGAATTCGCTTACAACAACAGTTATCAAACTAGCATTGGCATGGCGCCGTATGAGGCCTTGCACGAAAGAAAATGTAGGTCGCCGATATGTTGGACCGAAGTTGGAGACAGAGCTCTGCTTGGTCCCGAATTAATTCAAGTGACAACAGAGAAGATTAAACTTATCTGACAGAGGATTAAAACTGCCCAGAGCCGACAAAAGAGCTACGCCGACCAGAGAAGGAATGAGTTAGAATTCGAAGTTGGGAATCATGTATTCCTGAAAGTTTCACCAATGAAAGGAGTATCCAGATTTGGAAGGAAAGGTAAATCAGCACCTCGGTATATTGGACCATTTGAAGTTCTTGAGAAAATTAACCCCGTTGCCTACAGACTTGCTTTGCCACAAGATTTGAGCCAAGTCCACAATGTGTTTCATGTTTCGTTGTTGAGAAAGTACATCCGAGATCCGCTGCATATAATTGATCATTCCGAGATCACGGTTAATGAGGATTTGGGCTACGAGGAGAAGCCAGTGAGAATTATTGACAGGCAACTGAGGCAGTTGAGAAACAAATCAATACCAATGGTAAAGGTCGAATGGAAGGAACATTATGGCACAGAAGCCACGTGGGAAAAGGAAGAGGACATGAGAATCCGTTATCCGGAGTTGTTCAAGGAACAAGGTAATCTAAGTTTGGGGGCCAAACTTCTTTAAGGGGGGTAGGATGTAACAAC